TGGTTTTATTCGTTACTGCTTTATACAGATCGTTACAAGTAGTTTATTGGTGTTCTTAATAATATATATATATATATATTTTTTTATTTGATTTGCCCTTTCGTCAAAGAAGGGTTAGAAAAGAAAACCCTCCCCTTTTTCGTAACAAAGAAGAGAAATCGAAAAGAATAAAACAACGAACGATAGGAAGCACCTAAACTCGGTACTAAAATCAACAAAAATTGATAAAAATTTAAGGAACAAGTATTTATAAAATTGGTATTTTTGACAATAGGTTACCAAATAATAAAGAATAATAAATTGATTTGCAAAAATAAATTTTCTGCCGTGTTCAAGTTTGAGCATCGTTCAAGTTCCAATAAATGGAATATTTTCATCGTATCACTTCCTTGAAAAGTAGAATGCAATTTGTCCAACACCCAAAGAGGAATTACTGAAAAATGTTTTTATCATGCAGAATTGAACGGTCTCCTCCGCATGCGAACACCATGCACTTTCCACGTAGCACATCGTGTATGCGTCCCTCCGTTTTTCAGCATATTTAGAAATAAATAATTTTCGATGAATTTATTGATTGGTTCAATGAAACTATCCACGTATCAGATATCAGCTTTGTGATCTATTACTATCAAACATTTATTTATTCTAAGCGAACAGACCGAGTACCCAGAATGGGTCCAGTATGTCAAATTTGTTATTGTTGAATGATTTGTAAATATTTGTTTTTTTTTTGTGTAAATAAATTATTTCATATATTTGACTGATATATTTCCGAATTTGACGTGCATTTAGATCACATATAATAATTGTCAAGACTTTTGGAATATCTCATCGTTTTTGGATTGAAAAAATTTTCATCATTGTAGTTCTTACCATTTCTCTTTTCTTTTAATGCTTGTTATGGTAAATTTATTATAAAATATTATTTACTAAGCATGTGCAAAATAATTTGTCCTTTCAAATTTCTTCCATCATTGTTTAAAAAAAAATAAAAAAATAATGAAATAAAAAATATAAAAACTATATATATATATATATATATAATATATATATATATATATATATATATATATATAATTATTATTATTATTAAAATCGTATATTTCAAATAGCATAAAAGAAATCTTTTCCTATGTTACGCTTGAATAACTCTAGAATTGCCGACGTTTTGCTGAAGATTCCTCTTCTTGTTTTTCATCATCTTCATTCACCATAGTTCTCGGCCTTTTTGATTGGAATGACTGACCTGGTTCCCAGCCTTCACTTTTTAATTCTTCCAATTGATACTTCGTTTCTAAAGTAGTATGTCGAGC